AGCCTACCGTTTCCCACACCTATCCAGTGCTCATCTCGAATAGATCACGTGTGCAGTGGAGAAAACGAAAGTAGAGATAGAGAGGCGTACGGTGGAATCGCCACGAATTCACACAGATCCCGAAGCGGATGGAACGCACGTGGCATCTTCAGGACCAAGCACACTCCCAGTTGCACGCTGCTGCAGTCGGTCGATAGAAATCCAGTTAAGATGTCGTTCGGGACGCTGCCATGAATCATGGTGCGTTCCAACGCAGTGGTGACCGCAAACACTGCAAGGCCAATGCCAACGATTCTGCCAACGACCCACCACATCGACAATCTCGTCGTCGAGCTCAACGTAGGTTCGATCCATGTTGAGGTGACAGCAGTTGCTGAAGACTTGCATGGGGACAGTGTATTCAATCCCATGCCACGAGATGCAAATGCAGCGTGGACGAGTTTGGCCACTGCAAGCCGTAAGCGGACTCGCTAGCCCAGCGACAACGCACAACACGGACACAAAACCCAGGGAGGCACAACTCAAAGTTGCGGTCAAGGCTGTGGGTACCAGCGGGTGCATAAACCGAAGCGCACGGTGGGTGCCCGGCAGACCAAGAGGAAACGCAATGAGTGGAGGAACGCACATAGGACACAGCGGGGAAATGGAATGAACGGCTGCGTGAGATCGACCCCCACGAGCACATTCAAGAGTATGGAACCAAAGCAGGAGAGGGCCAAACTTGGACCAGGGTGAACACGCGGGGACTGATGCCCTCGTACGAGTACACTTTGGCGACGCCTGCAACGAGACATAGCGTGGCAATCATGGCTTCATGACCCGAAAGTCTTTGTCTTCGTGGCGCCATCTCCGCAGTCGTGATCCCCGTCCATCGCCGTCCGTTCGACTCGCCGTGAGAGCGCAATACAACAATCCGGATAAAAAAATTATCCGGTGGAAACCAATAAATTCGGTCACTGCATCATGATGCTGCGGCGTTGGCGGCAACATGCTCAACGCCATGCAAATTTGCGGCGTGCGGGAGCAAGCACCGCATCATTCGCAGACAGATCCACACCTGCTCCATACCCATGCCATGAATCCTCTCGTGCCAAGAACAATTTCGTGTCGTTGCAGGATCTCCTAGCGAGCAACCCCCAACGCAACTACGAGCTTGCGTTCAACTGGGAGCGTGCGTTGCAGTGGTGGCCACAAGCTGCGTGGAAGGATGCGTTGCGACTGTCGTCCAAGTCGGAACATGCTCGCTTGGCGGCACTGCTGCAGCAAAGCGGGCCATCGAACCACTACTACCTCCTCCGGAGACACCCTGAACTTGCCGTCGACGTGCTCAAGCTCGTCGTGAACTCAACCGACGCGTTTGCGTACGTAAATCCGCTTCATCGTGACATGGACATCATCAAGGTAGCTGATCTGCATGCCGCCTTTGACAATTGGCCTGTGTGTCATGGATTGTCCAGGTACTTCGTCAAATGGCCCTCGCCATCGGCGACGATAACATGCTGCATGCCGCCAAGACCGTGATCCACCAGCGATGCCTCTCGAAGGAGTCTGCGCGGTGCACGCCGTGTCTGTATCGCAGCTTGTGCGCAGCGACAGATACCACGAGTGCCCCACAGCTACGGGAAATCCTCCGCCACCTCATTCATCACCGCCTTGTCCCCGAGGTATTCCGTCAATTCGATGGGGCCATCGTTCGGCATCCCCCTCTCTTTCTTTGCCGTCATGCATTGCTTTAGATATTGACCTTGCTGGAGTTTGCCACGGAACAGCGCATTCCGATCGATGTGTGGCGCCGCATCTTCAACATGTTTATCCACGCTTCGTTCGAGGCACCCGAGGCGCCAACCGAAATAACGAGTGGCGACGAAGGCGATGCTGGCGTTCGTTTCCGCGTTGTTCAAGACGTTGCTCTGCAATTCATGGCCCATGTCGAAGCTAGACCGATCCGCATCTCGGAGGGGATTGCGGCGTCGGTTATCCGCGCCGCAGTGCATCACGGCGAAGCCGACACTGCACTCACATGTACTTTTATTCCCACTGGACCTCTGTCGTAGAATTCATGTCGGAGTCTAGGCTACGACTGGTTTCGCCAGCGCCAAGTCCCCCTGTGCAACATCGCCGTCGGCCACCTCATGCAACTGCTGCGGCCCGGCCAGCACCACGCCAGCATGCAGCGGTTCCAGCAAATTTATGACGAGACCGTCGCGGCGCGAGGCGTGTCTTCCCTGGTACGCGTTTGGCTGAAATGTGTGGTGGTGGTCGACTGGAGATGAAAGACGACGGATGGGTGGAATAGCTCACACGTGTTGTGTTTAGAGTGCCGAATGCCTGGCGATGACAATCAATGCCGCCGCGCACGATATCCGTTTCCTTCGCCGCGTCGTTGGCGACCTCGTGGCTCCCGACGCTGGAAAGTGCCACCTCGACGTTGGCATGTGCAATGTCGCTCTAAAAGGGCTTGTCAACGGCCCCGACTGCGAACCAAATCAAGGTTTGTGCAGCATGCTCTTGCGGGTCTAAATTCGACGCGAGTAGATTTCCCGTTGGCGCAAGCGCTGGGACACCTCATGCACCGCAGTGGCATCGTCGCCAACCGAGGCAGCTTAGTCGCGCTGCTGCGCGCGAGCGACGACAAGTTGGCCGTGCTCCAAGTCAACAACGCCGCCGAGGCCATTGCTCGGACCGTGCCGCGAAAACACAAGCACGTCAACGTTGAAGTCGACACTCTCTCGTATGCAGCGCACGTCGCCATCGTGGATTTGATCAAGAGCGGCGACGTGCGCACTGCAAGCGACGTCAGGGATGCAGTGCTCGCCTCTTCTTCTGGCCCCGCCGCGTTTTCACCCGCCTTGGTACGATCTCAACGTGCGTGCACTGAAGTGATTTACCTGTTTTTGCAGTGGCAGACCATGGTGCTGAGCTTGATGCATCACAAAGGTAGCTTTGACTTTGCCATCGATTGGATGCGAGTCGCGGAAGCCCATGTCCAGTCAACGCACGTGCCTCTCTTCGCCGACTATGTCTTCTCGACGTGGTTCACCTTGGCGATGAAACATCGCAAGCTAGTCGCCAACACGGACGACGCTCCATTTGTGCTCGCCCAGTGGCGGCGCCAACTCCCGACCTCGATCAGACAAGACGATGTCAAGCGCTTCGACTTGGCTATTACGACCTGCTGCCATGCCAACGATATCGCGACTGCGACAGATCTGTGGCATGATATGGTACGGACTGTTCAAGTAGCTCTTCTACTCGCTCGATGTGGTGGTTGGGCTATCTAACTCGCGCGATTATCCCTTGCAGGTGGCGGCGTTTGGCGCGCCGTCGGCAAATGCTGCCTCGGCCATGCTCCAAGCCATGGACCGCTTGAACAAAGACTTTGAACCGTTCTTTTACTCGGAACTGTACTCGGGTGAAGTCAACTCGCGGCACATGCCGCCCATGTCGGTGCTGCAGGCGGCCTTGTTCGCAGCGAGCCACCGAAAGAAGCACAAGATGGTGCGGGATGTTATCGACTTGCTCATGAAGATTCCGCCGTCCCAGTGGAACGCCGCCGTGTATCGAAATGCACTGTATTGTTGCGCTGAGAGCTCCGTGGGCGAGCTGGTCGAAATCGGGCTAGAGCTAATCGAGTGGTTTATAACGGAACGGTTGGCCGCATCCCGTGCCACGCCTTTCGCCTCGTCGCTCATCAACACCCGTAGACTGCCGTTTGACCCGGACGAGTACAGCCTCTTCGACTCGCTGCGCATTGCCAAGCAGTCGCCACCAGACGACCAGTATGCCATCTTGCATGCGTATTCAGAGTACGTCGGACTAGCGCGTGGCATCAAATTGAACCGCCGATGTCCCAGACGCAACCGATGGCCGAATTTGATGGCGTACACGATGATGATGGAAGCGCATTTGCAAGCGAAAGCGCCGTCGTCGTACGGCAACATGGTAGTCGACATGATGGCTGCGCAGCAGATCCCGATGGATCTCAAGTTTGCCACCGTGTACGCCTTGCTCCTGCTCCAAAACCACAACCACGTCAAGCTTCTCGACCTCATTCGCACCATGGTGCACGACGCCAACGTCCCGCCCGACGAGTACTTTTTCCATGCCCTCCTGACGACCGTCGCAGACCAGTCAGACATCGACGGATGCTTCGAGTTGGTGGCATCCATCACATCCATCGGGCATTTCGAAGGTACGACCCCGTCCTTATCGACAACCCACGATGCGCTACCACCAACATGACGCTTTCCATGTAGCTCTGTACATGGCGCTCATTCACGTCGGGCTGGCCAAAGGTACGTCTGCGTCGGCCATGGTAGTGGCATGCCGAAGCGATGCTGACCAACGTGTGTGCAGGTGTCCTCGAACGTGTGTGCAACGTCGTCGTGCAAATGGAGTGCGAGGGGTTTGCCATTTCGTCGACCGCGCTGGTCAAGGTCATCGACGCTGTGCGTTCGAATCGCGAGATGGAAAAGGTGGTGTCGATCGTGGCGCAGTTGGTGGGCGGAGGTACGCGAGAAATTGTGTCGTCGGCCTTGATCTGTGTAAACCTTGGCGGCGCAGGGCCACGAACTATTCCATTCGATGCGACGGTGTTTGCCGCATTGTGGACCCAACTCGCGCGGTTTCAATGCGCCAACAAGGTCTCGTTGAAGTATTTACACCAGCACGCCGCCGCCCACGGCTTTGATCGCCCTGTGGCGTTGCCGTAACGAGCCCCATCTTGTTCAGGGTCCACTTCGCCCCGACCGCCGCTCCATCGAGTGCCCGTCCGCGCATTCGAAGCAGCACCGAATGCCCATGTAACTTAATCCTCCACTCGTTCTCGACGCATCCCCGCCTACTCTCGTCGACATCATGTCAAACGGATGTCTGTGTCGACATTGTCCGGTGAAAATGTCCTGGCCAGCACGGATCGCTTGACGACACACAGAAAGGTTCTTGCCACCATTTCTCATGCACATTCCCCGCGGCGAATTCACGTGGTGGCCGTGGCATCGAATCCCCCCGTTCTCCCCGCAACCTCCTTGACGCTGACGTTGCTCCCGGCGCGACGAAATCGCAACAAGTGGAGGCTGGGCCGTGGCGTCGGATGTGCCCGTATCCACGTGGTCAGGATGTCGACCTTCCACAACAAGTCGAATGGTGCGGTCCCCAAGGCGAGGTTTGCGTGGCGGCGCACGAGATCGGACGTTGAGCCACTTCTGCTTGCTCCCGACGTGAATCGTGGATGTCTGTGTGCGCATGCATGTTCATGGTGCGCGCCAGACTGGACATGTTGAACGGAGTCTATCGTTGTGAGAACTTCTGGGGGGAATGTTGCGCAGTGTCGACAACAAATGCCCAACTCGACGTTCCAGAGTCAGTTTGTGCCCGAGCGATTGGGATCGTGTAGGTCCCGACCATCCGTCATCTTTCACCGTGGGGTCCGCAGTCGATGACGACAGAGTACCCGTTTCCCGAGTGTGGTGCACGCACCAACGTTGACTCGTTGATCGAGGAGGCCCCATGGAATAGGACAGGTAGCTGCACAAACTAGCCCTCCCGTTTCCGATTGCTGGGGCACGGGTGTCATGTTGGGCAAGTAGTAGCACAGGAAGAGTGTGTGGACGTGTGTCGTGCGACAACTCGGACGGGCAGCCCTTGACTTCAGTAGCAACTGCTGCTGCCACAGGCGCTACGATGTCCTCTTGATAGGTCCCCCAAACTGGCAAATCAAGACCAGTGGATCCGCAGCCCTCCTCGGGGTGCGAAGGGGAGTACACTTGCGTAGTGGACGTGATCGCCCATTGTGGTATCGTCCCATGCCATCACTTCCAACCGTTCCTGGTAGATGGAATCCTTCCGTTTGTCGCATCACACGAAACAGAGTGTACGCACGCCAAGGTCTTTCCCAGCCCCCGTCGCGCAAGACGTGGGCTTGCCCCCAAGTCAAGACAAGAGCAATTGCGTGGGATGGGGGGAGAGGCAGTAGTGTGATGACGAGGGCAAACCTCCAGCGGCAAAATGTAGAATGCACGCATGACTCGGTTTAGAGTCGGGGTACAGCTCCAAGGGTAGTGCGGTTTGTCGCACGGACGCGAGTTTGGTCCCACCCACGGATGCATATAGAGAGCGGGGGAGACGATGGCCGAATCCTTCCGTCGTATGGCCTCGAGCCCTCGTCGCACTCGGAGGGTCGACTTGGGCTGCACCTCGAGCCCCGCCCCCATTTCAACCCCCCTCGACGTCCACACCGAGCCGAGACGTGCATCATCCTGCGGCAACCTGAACGGTGCAAAGTCGCGTGATGAGCCGAAAGAGCGTCGTACAACGTCAGTGAATGAGTTGGACGATTCGTAGCATTCGGTTTCGGCGCTCTAGTCACGCCTCTTCTTGATTCGGGCAATCGCCAACATGCAGGCCGCCACAGGACCGCCGGTCGCCGCGTATCCGTTCCCTGTGTGGTGTACGCTGTATGGGATTTTGATCGTCCTCGGCTTTTTCGCGTCGCTCTTTGCGATGCACACCATGCACAAGCATGCAAAGCTCGTGTCGTCCTGTGTGTGTTCGTCGATGCTGTGCTTCTTTGTGTGGAAAACGTTCTTCTCGATTTGCCGCGCGGTCACGGTGGGGGCGATCTTGACCGAATTCCGCCACAATACGTCGACGTGGTTCATGCTGGACGAAGATCATGATATTGGGGGCCTGCGGTTCGTTGGCAAAGGGGACAGCTCGATCAGCGAGCCGCCGTTGTACATTCGGATCAGTTTGTTTGGCGGCGACATCGCTCTGTTGTCGGGGGCGTACTGGATGCTGGTCCTCGTCATCGAGATGCTTCGGCTTGTGGTACGACGCCGTGGTTTGCGCCGTCGAGTTCATATCTCTGCCGCCCCTAGAAAACGACCGTCGACCGAGGAGCTGTCCGCGAAAAGCGCATTACGCGATTCTACATCCTTTTCAACTTGCTTGGGGTGCTTGCGTACGCAACAGTACGTGCGCCGTCAGCCATCCATTGTCACCCCCCGCTGTACAGGCTACGACGGCAGTGTCGCTAACCACCGACCGCTCGTTCTACTCGTCGCGGTTCTATTCGTTTTCCGTGGCTTCATGCGTGGCGCAATCGGTGGTCATCGTCGTCGTCACGTTGGGGTAGATGCTACTGACAAGTATGGAGACGACCTTGACGCCGTCGGCTTGTAGGGTATTGTACTTGAACTGCACAGGACACAAGCTCGAAAGCGTCGAGTGCCGCATTGTTCAAAAGCCCTTGTACACGCGGCTCAAGCTCATCTTGTGCGTGGTCCGATGCTGCCAAGAAGCGACTGACTGTCGTGGCTAGATGGATCTTTGACGTGACGGGTATTCCGTTCGTGGCGGTCGGGTGGGCGTTGGCGGTCAAGCCCATGTCCCCGCAGGAAAGCCTCGATTCGATTCCCAACTGGATTCTCTTTACAAGCAACACGCTCTTCTTCATGTCCCCCATGGCGCTTGCGTTTGCCTTGATCGCAAACCAGCGATGCATGCTATCGTGGTGCATGGTGCCGGACGACGTGATCCAGCAAATTCAGGCGAACGAACCCCCCAAGGACTTTCCCGTGTTTGTCAACACGGATATCGAGGCGTCGAGTGCCCTGTGGGGGGCCCTCGGTCCCGTCATGCACGCCGCGCAGGACCTCCATGACACCCTCCTGCGCACGCTCTTGGTGTCGCACCGCGGCTACGAGATCGCGACGGCCGGCGACTCGTTCCAACTGGCGTTCCACAATATCGCCGACGCCGTCGCGTACTGCCTCGACGTCCAGCTGCAGCTCCTCGTGCAGCCGTGGCCGCAGGCGTTTGTCGATTGCCACATACCTGGGAGCGCCACGATCACGACGCATCAGTTTCGCCTCCTCCGACAAAAGAATCTGTTTCATGGCGTGCGAGTGCGCATGGGAGTCCATGCGTCGAATCCAGCCGAGGGCAACCTTGTCAACCGAGTGCACCCGGTCACCGGTCGAACAACATACGTCGGGTTGTCCGAGTTGATTGGACGGGAAGTGAGCGACATCGGGTGCGGCGGCCAGATCATCGTGACGGCGCCGATTGTGCGGTGGGTGCGAGCGAACCAGAAAAACGGGACGCCGTGGGCCACGGCCCATCCCTTGGAGCTGCGTGAATTGGGTACGATCGAGAGACGTCGTCGTGCGATGTACAAGGAACAAGGATTTGAACGTAGGTGTCCACCGCATCGAAGACTTGGATATTGTCGTCGGCATTGCGCAAGTGGTGCCGTTGGAATTGGTCGATCGGTTCAACATATTTCCACCCCTCGGAATCGTCGAGGGTCGTCGGGCGCGGGTCCCCGCGACCAACTACTCACTGTTGATTTCGCCCCAAAGGCAGAGCCAAGCGGTGGATGTGGATTCTGTGCCCGACCAACGGGGTTGACAGATTCCCCGCAACCGCGGACCCTCTCCGGTAAACTGACGTAAATACTAGAACGAATCGACGACATCACGACGGCACACTCGTGCGGACCTGCCGCCTTGGCAACACTTGTCGGATTGCGTTTCAACGGGCGCGTTCGACGTTGCTGAGTTTGCACGGATGCGGCGGTATCTTCCTCGTACACCACAGGCAAAACCAAATAACATCCGTGCACCAAACTCGCGACGTCGTCAAAGCAGTGACGTGTCAAAGCTGTTGCTCTGTCCAAAGTGAGATGCGAGGGACAAAACGAAGCCACTTTGTCGTAGCTGATGCGTCGCAAAGGTGACTGCAGTGGTCGAAGTGGCCTGCACAGCCCTCGACACCTGCGGCTCGGACGGCGTAGCCTTGTTACCTTGATTCGAGTCCCGCCAAACACCCCTCGACATACATATTTCCAAAGACAACTTGTGTGCTGGTACATAGTGCCAACGCATGGCTCGTTGCGATTCACGGAGTTTTCAATTTTGGTGTGCATGGAAGATCAAGAAAATACCGAAGGCGAATACTTTGGTCTCACATGCGTATGGAGTAATACCGCCATGACAGAACGTCCCGCAGCGCCAAGGGATGGCACTCCGTGTCGATTATGCGCCGCACTAGTTGTCCCAACGAAGAAGGACCCAATTCCATCCCTTGATTGCGCACGGCAGAAGACAACGCTGCCGTCAGGAAAGCGTGTCGAACTCGCTCACGAGAAAATTCCTCCAATCAACATTCATTTTGAGACTATTCCACCAATCAAAACACTTGATCCAATCTGCAGCCAATCGTGTCGTTTGTAGAAGTCGTTTCAGCCAATCACAGCACCTCCCTCGTCCCGCGCAGTGCGTCGACGTTCTCACTTTCAAACGCCCCATCGAATAAGTATGTCGGGACGTGGCAAAGGCGGCAAGGGCCTCGGCAAGGGCGGAGCCAAGCGCCATCGCAAGGTCCTCCGCGACAACATTCAGGGTATCACTAAACCTGCTATCCGCCGACTGGCTCGTCGTGGTGGTGTCAAGCGTATCTCTGGCTTGATCTACGAAGAAACCCGCGGTGTCCTCAAGGTGTTTTTGGAAAACGTCATTCGCGACTCGGTCACGTACACAGAACATGCTCGACGTAAAACAGTCACAGCCATGGATGTCGTGTACGCGTTGAAGCGCCAAGGCCGCACACTGTATGGGTTCGGTGGTTAAGCATGCCGTTGGCGCGACCACGCTGCACGTAGCCACGACTGTATCATACATAATACGACCATTCTATGCTGGACCCGGTTAATCAACATACTTTCGCTGTACTCTCAACACGGACGATCTGGATCGTGTGTACGATTTTGCATCAGTGGTGTGTTTTCGTCCAGGATCCTGTCGACCGTTGGCCGGTGCATGAGATATCTCCACTTGCTCCAAATGCGCGAGTGCCAAATCATGAACCCCACGAACGCGACCATTGTGATGCTGATGGAAGTGATGTGGTAGTGGTTGTACTGGACCCACGCGACAATTGCGAGTTCCACCAGGAAGAGCGTCACACCTGGGAGAGCATGACCGCACGGCATTCGCGGGATGATCGAGTCCTACCTGCTCGGAAGAGATCATACGCCAACTGCCAGTCGACCTCACACTTTGCCAGCCACCATCGATTGAACGGATGCGAGTTGTCGATGTGTGCATCTTCGAGCTGTTTGACGTCCGTCTCCAATTCGTGTGCGCAATACCGTGTCACGGCCAACATGAGGAACGTGCACGCCAGCAAAGAGAGCACCATGCAGCAGATCTGCATGAGTTCTATGAGGGATGGCCTGTGACAGCATGAGGGTGGACGTACCGTCAAGGCAGATGCAACGCCGTACACCCAAAGCAACGTGAGGTCGATGTCTCTCGGCAAGTTGATGTTGATGATTGATACGAGTGCAAATCCACTCAACTCGGCCGATATCTCCGAGATCGCCGACAAGTGCTCGTTGCGCGTTTCTGCCTGTCGTTGCTCGTTGGCAATTTTTTTCTACGTTGGTCCCGTCGTGAGATCTCGTCAGGATGCTGGAGCGACGCTTTGTACATGAACGCGCTCAGTTCGAATGTCTTGCAAGCGCCACTCCAGTTCTCGCTGGAGGTCGTCGATGCGCCACTGCCTCTCTTGTCGGCGGTGGGCCAAGTCTTCCTTTCGCCACATCGCTTCATTTGCTTTATCGTAGTTGTTGATCAAGCTGTCGACGACTAATCCCGTCAAGAGCGTCGCCATGGCACGTCCGAAATGGATCGAAAATTCGCTCTTGTCATGGTGTTACCATAATAATAATTCAAACAAATTCAATTTTGACTTCAAATTTGGATAAAATATATTGACTCTTTAAACAGTCGTCACAGACTTGGACCAAGGTAGTAAACGCACTTGCCATACACAGTGGCCTCAACTCTGTCGAGTCTTTGCCATATATACCCGAATCAAGCCAAACAACGGAGTGAAGATCACCATTGATCATACATCCTGCATCTGCCGCCACCTGTGCGATCGATGCCGCGAGCCGAATGGTGCCCTTAATTTTGCTAGAAACGGTTCTCAGTTCATTTATTATTGAAATATACTCTGTTTTGTTATTCTATCTGAATATTAACAAGATATCGTTATGATCAATTAATGCGTTTGGGTTGGAAAGAATTTTTAATGTTAACATTAAGTTGTTATATACTTACATCGGGAATGGGAGTACCAGTACATGAATTGTTTTCTAAATAGAGGATTTTGAGTTATATTCGCCTATATATTGTAAATAATTCATGTAAATAGAGGATTTACATTTGTGTGACCGTGTCCGATGCATATCGGATTATCCGGAGATTTGAAAGATTTCGACAGTACAATACAAAATCAATAGGATGCCGACAGTCCAAGTGTCCTCGGCCGACGGCATCGCGCCAGGACCTGCATCCGTCAACACAAATGCGATCAAAGTTCGTCTCTACAAGGAGTTGAGCAAGGATGGCATGGGGTCAAGGTGGACGACGTACTGGATCGCTTTGCAGAAATACGTACAGTCGGAGATGCCGCACGCCTTGCTCCACACCATTCTGCACACGCTTTTGGACCCACCACTTCGTAAGATGAAGTCCCCCTGGACTTGCTATTATTAACATGTGTATGTAGTCGAATTACACAATGAGCTCATCTTGGGAATCCTCCACAACGCACAAGTGCCGCACAGCACGCCGCCGCATTCGCCGACGTTGCACGCACCACCCACGATTGATGTAGCGCACGTCCCATCCCCCGAGCCGAATCGACTCCACAAGAAGCGCCCTCTTACCGACGAAGAAGGTAGTATTCACGATCTTTATATGTATGTTGACCAAATTTCTCGAACAGCCGTCCATACTCTCCTCCAGTTAACTACATCGGATGATGTTCGTGCTGACGATGTCGATGATGCCGCTGCTTTTTTGAAGTCGTTCTCGAAACCTCAGTGTACTAGCAAACGGGCTAAGCCGTCCCCCACGGGATCCTACATATCTACCATACCTCGCATTCGACGTAGGACCTCCATTTCCTACTCGTTTCATCTCACATCATGCTGCTCGCAGCAAAGCCCGACCCAAGCACGTGGCCTGGTTGCCCGTCTGAGCTCCATCACACTCTTTACCCCAGCCGTACGAGGTATACGCTGCTGTCCCGTCAAATACGCATGGACAGCCGATTGGCACACCAAGAATGGGAAGTCCACCCGAACATCATCACGAAAACTTCTGCGCGAGGTAGCAAGACCTTTCCATGAAATCCGTCGGTGGTTCTTACATGTTTTGTAGGTCATGGACTCGCTGCGGAAAAGTTGCCACCATGGCCATGGGGTCAGCAGGCGGTTCAAGCCTGCAATGGAACCACATTTGAGCCAACAAGCCCGTAGCCACGTGTGCCACAGGACTACTTCATTCATACGTGCTTGATTTGTTGATGAGTTGTCGTCCATGACTCAGTAGTCGAACGAGTCGACATGACCACGTCGGCCGTTGCACGTTCCGTCGACGATATTAAAGTCATGATGGTTTGGAACTACAGCACAAACTACTGTAAACTCTCTAATTGTAGACCCTCTCTCCAATAAACGAATCCCTCTATACAACTACCCCTGTAAATCAATACATTTAATATAATATAACCTAACAAGTATATAATATATATCACAGTCAAAGCGAAACATTGATCTTAATCTTGGTCGATCATGACAAGATCATCAAACTCATCAAGCAATTCGTCGATGTCTGGCTCTTTGGACTCTTCTGCATCATCCGATATAAGTCCTTCGAGTTCAAGGCGGAAATTCCCTCCCATCGTCGGGTGTTTAGAGAGGAGCAGCTCGTCATTTGTAGCAAGGAAACACTTCACAAAACTCTTCATGACAATGTCACTTGAAATCGCCTTCCATGAGTGAATCAGCCACTTTGCAACAACATCATTTGATGGTGGTCTTGGCCGCCCACCTCTTGTGTAGTCAAAATCACCACGCGATATCCACTCGTCAATATTTTCGGCCATTTTGTCTTTCAATGGCTTAAACCTGCTGACGTCAGTCGGTTGCGAATACGCCGTAGTGCCGCCAGGTATGACTGCATACAAAAATCCCTTTCGCTGAAGAAACGCCTTCACTTCTTTGCTCACATGAGATCTTGCAGCATCAA